GTTACTGGACAATTGTTTTTTTTATCCACTAATTTTAATACATTATGAATTTGAAGGTGTAATTCCTGATGATTTACATGAGAAGCCTTAAAACCCTGAATGCTCATCTTTATTGCATCCATTTAAGAAATTGTCATGCTTTATTCATGGACAGGTGTTCACAGGATCAAAATTGCACATCAGAGGATGGTAATTATTGCATTTAACAATAATTGACCTGTTAAAATGACTATTTTATGAACCCTTAAGGTACATGTTATAAAACTCTACTGGTTTTCTGTGTGCAGAAGTACTTTATTGTGATGCAAAGTGTCTTTTACCCTGATGACAGAATCACAGCAAGGTAAGACTCACTGCATGTTATAAATGGAAATGAAGTGTTATCGATTCGTCCATTATCAATCATATAAATATTTAATGTTTCTAATCTCTCCATCACTTATGTGGGAGTACACCACAGAAGATGTCATCTTGACTTAATAAAATCCACAGCCTTGCAATTATTGGTCATTAAATTGCTTTGCCTTTTAGCTGTTACTTTTGGCTTGCACTAATGGTAAGAATAATGATCCAATCCACCACTCCAACCTCCTTCTCCATTACTCTTCCCCTAGTTTTACATTCACCCTTTTCTCTCAATGTTTAAGGTATGATATAAAGGGCTGTGAGATGAGCCGGTGGACGGACCCAGCCCCTGAAGGCAGCCAGATCATTGTTGTTTTGAAGGATCTTAATTTTGAAGGACAGTTAATTCAGTTAGGTAAGCTCAGTTCCTTGTAGGTGAATGAGGATATTTAGACAACACTACGTTCAATCTTATGGCTCCTTGTTTATATGACAGATCAGCAATGCCCTTGGTTCCTGCGTCAGGTGGAGATTGACACTGCCTTTCTTCAAACGCTCAATGTGTTGGACTACAGTCTCCTGCTGGCCCATCAGCCCCTGCACCAGGATGAACTCAACCAGAGTCTCTCTTTCGCAACACTCATCATGCGTGCCAAAAAGTGAGCATAGGTTTAGTATGTCATGCATATAGTCATCCACAAACAAACATAGACATTTTCAAATATGTTTTAATGAAGGTCTGCTTGTGTACATTGTTTAAAGATTTCAAATTCTTCTAGTAAACAAGATCAAAATAACCTGAAATCTCCATAAAAGTACATAATTTATTGATTCTACTTAAGGGAAGTTAGTGTTATTACGTTTCATTAAAGGGGTCCTATTATGCTCTTTTACAAAGTCTTGGTTTTTGAAAAGTGATTTCTGTTACATAAAATATCTCCTTTTGAAGTGGACTTTGAGCTTTGTAACTTTGCAGATCTTTATTTTATGCTCAAACAGCAACATTACAGACTAACTAAAGTTGAAAAAGTGAAAAAGCATAATAGGACCCCTTTAAACAAAGAAAGGAACACTACTGTTCTTTGTCAAAAATGACCACAGACAGCCAAGGTGTGAGCACTTTTTTAAAAGCTTTGGACGGTTATTTATAGTGAATGGAAACTTTCTCAAAGGAGATGCCAGTATTATATTGTCAAACACGTAAAATGTGTTTATTATCTCAACTGTTTTTTCAAAGTACTCTAATTACTTATAAAATATGTTGAATAGAAAACATTGGAGAGTGAAGATGAATATCTTTTCACAATTGTAGTATACACATTTAGTGAAGTCTCAAGGTTGGTGTAGTTTGGCATTGATAATTGTTTAAAAATTCTATTCTTGACACAGTCAGCCGGCCCACAGATACTTTCGGCTGGTCACCGCTATCCCACACAGTCATTTGAATGAACTGCTCATGCTTGACTGCTGAGGTGCATGCAGAAGATAGTGATGAATTTTATATGATTAAAGGGGTCATATGATGTTGCTAAAAAGTACATTACATAATTACGGATTATAATGACTTATACTGTCTTTTTACGCATTGCCCACGCTGCGTAAACATAAAACTATGTCTGCATTTGTGATCGGACAACGAAACACAGCGTCACACACGGCGGCTAGAGTGAGCGGAGGCCGGCTTGAGTGAACGGAGGCGGGCGGGCTTGAGAACAGCGCGGCCGGCGGATTATTTACAGATCTTCTTTATGCACCAAGAGCTTGTAACACTCCAAAGAGAAAGGAAAAATTGAAATCGCATCATATGACCCCTTTGCTCATGCTTTCATTGTTCTCATGGTTCAGAGACAATTTTTTCTTCAAGACGTTTCTTTCTGCTTCCTCTTTATCTCTAGTTTAGTTCAGTATTTAAGGATAACAGGCTTTACCGTGATTGTGAATGTTCATGTTCACCTCTGTTTCCAGATCCTTCTCTTTCTACTCCAAATGGCCATTGGCAGGCAGGCATGTAGTTATCATATCTAGCTTCAATATCATTTTCAAAGTAATGTCTCAAAGAAATAACAAAAAATAAATTACTAAACTATAATAATAACTATGCGAGTCCTTGCTACTACCATTCCATTATTCATTGAACATCATCTCATATACTGCATTTATCCATCATTTAACCTCATGGTTCATCAAAAAAAAAAAGATAGCAGTCTTTTTCATTTACTCAGTCTCATGTCTTTTGAAACCTGTATGACTTTGTCTTTTCCGTAGAACACAAAAGGACATGTAGCAGAATATCCAAGCTGCTCTTTTCCATACAGTGAAAGGGAATAATAACTGTCAAGCTTTTTAGTGAACAACAACTTAAATTTTAGTCTGTTCCTCACACAAAGTTAACAAATGACTTCAGTATGGGCTACAGTCTTTGGTCGCCATTCACTTTCATTGTGTGGAGAAGAGCAGCATGTGCATTCTGCAAAACATCTCTTTTCGTGTTCCACACAAAAAGAAAGTCATATGGGTTTGGAAGGACATGAGGGTGAGTAAATGATGTAAGATGTTTAATTTTTGGGTGAACTATACCTTTAACAGCATGGAAAGTTCAGGTGAAATAATCTGCTGCAGAAAAACAGAGCTTCAACCCAGAAACAAGCAACAGCCACACATTTTCATTAGATGGTAATCATTCAGTTGTTTAAGGTTCTTTGTTTTGTTCTGTGTTCCTCTCTGACTGGCTGTTAGGTCAGTAAATGCAACATCCAGTCCTACACATGCCACTTCGCCAACTGTTCCCGGGGTGGTGGCAGAGGAAGACTCCACACCCCTCTCCTCAGAATTACATTCAACACAGTGTCACATAACAGAAATACACAGAGGCAATGATGGAACGGACATTGCAAGTCTTGAGGAAGACAAAATTGAACAACCCAGTATGGTGGGAGCAGAGTCAGCCGATCTACAAATAGTCCAGGCCCAGAACCGGAGACTACTTCCCAACTTCAAGAACCCGCTTCATGTCATTGATGGACCAGAGCAGCGTTACTTCATCGGGATAATTGACATCTTCACTGTTTATGGTTTCAAAAAGAGGCTTGAGCACCTGTGGAAAAGTCTGAGACACCCACGACAAACATTCTCCACAGTTAGTCCTCCAGCTTACTGTCACAGGTTGTGCCAGTGGGTTCAGGACCACACCAAATAAAATAAGAGTGCTTGTATGACGGATGGACATACTGTGCACACATCTGACTCATACATACCTCAATATGTTAACACAGTGGAAAGGATCTGAATGTACATTTGATACAAACGTTTTTATAGCTTTTTGTTTAAATAAAGACGATGCTAATGCAAGTACTTGTTGGAACACTGTAGTTCATGAAAAATGCCAAAGTTAAAAGTTGTATTAATTTAAAATTGTTACATAAGTAACAGAGCAGTGACTGTGTATAGGGATAAAAACCTATTATGAAAACATGTAAGAGCAAAGGATAGTGTAACTTTTGTTTTAAGCATGTTTTCAAATGATAAATGAATTATGTAATGCTGGTTACATATATCACATTTATTGAAAAGAACATTGCTACCATTTGATTACCAGTTGCCCAGACAGGATGACTTTTGAGACTTGCAACTTTTCAACAAAAGCAGGGTCCCTTCCTTCCTGCTGTCTGTCACGTTCAGAAACTCTTATGTGAAGCTACATAAGTGGGCATTCAAATGTTTTCAGAAATATTTATGCAGTATAATAAAAATAATATTTAATAGTCTACCCGCATCTTTTCTTCTTTAATGCTAAATCATTTTCAGGCCTCAAACTGCTTTTGTATTGTGCTATTTGTAATTTATCATTGTATTGCTGGAGTTTGAATTTTTTGAGCACATTTTATTAAAATGAAAAATATTAAAATATATTAAAATAATGGAGGCAAGTAAGGGACATTTTTGCATTTATCTTATCATGCTGTAATGTTTCTTTTATGGAAAGCCATAAAATGAGCAGTTTAAAGCTATAGGTTGCAGGGTTAGTATAAGGAAAATACAAATCTTTGAAAATCTTTTTAATAATTTTATGGTTTAGCCTAATAATTAGTGTATACTGACATGCTTCATTCATTCATTCATTAATTCATGCAACAGGTTTTCTTACCCCAATTTTTTTTAGATGCTTGATAGCAGGTAAATCAGATATCAACAATAGTATTTGTATATGACTGAATTAAATGTTAATTTTTATTATTACTTTTGGACATACATTTTTGTGTACATTTTGAACCCAAAGTCTATATATATATATATATATATATATATATATATATATATATATAAAATTGAATATTCAATAAATAATTTGTGTGAAAAGAAACCACCAGCAGGCCTTTAGAACCAGAACAGTATGAATGAGTTAGTATATAAAAAAAGAAACAACTACTGAAAGCTAACATCCTGAAAGGGTTTTAAAATATGGGTCCGTTTACCTGTACAGACCACAGAGGATACTTTTATAAATTGTTATTTTTCATTAAAGGTACTTTATAAAAAAAGAAAATTGTTACAATTCCCAAAAACAATGTGTTCACAATAACAGAGAGGTTTAAAATTAGCAGTCAGCTCTAAACTAGGCTGAGTAGAGGATGGCTGATGTAACAGATGGTAAAATCATTAAACTCCAGGTTGCGCTGTCGATTCAGCCTCGTCCTGCACAATCGATCCCGTTGCAGGGACAACCAACAAACTGATGTTGCTGAAACGCACACAGTGAAAACGCTGACACGATGGATTTTAATGTCAAGAAACTAGCGTCGGATGCAGGTGTCTTCTTCACTCGTGCTGTTCAGGTAGGAAATGGCCCAGTGCTTTCTGGTTACTTTACGGTAGTTGCGTTCAGCCATAAGGGACGTGCGTGAATTGAGTGGGATGGATGTACGCAGCAGCAGCAGCGGGCTCGAGTCAATGAATGAACCGCTTCGCCCTGTTGGCCTAAATCAGCCTTTACAGATCCTTACGCGAACACTCAGAAACGTCGCTTTCTGTAGCCTAAATCTTAATGTATCTGTCATTGTTCAAGCGAACAATCCTTATTTGTCATGTTGCGATGATCTGTATTTTCCTCGCTATTGTAAGCCGATAGACGCAAGCCAAGCCCGTATCCATTATTAATGACTGTTCATGTGACAGTCACCAGCTGCATTCTCGCTCACAGGCGAAGCCCTGTTTACTACAGAACAGTTAATTATTTTAATATGTAAAATGCTTGTTTAGGGATGCGCATGTCATCGTTTGTCTATTGAAATATAACCGAGTATAAAAATATACTCCGTTTATAGCCTACTGTATAACAAAGACATTAGACCGTAAACAGGTTAATCATCATTGACCAAATTTTAAAGGGACAGATCACCTCAACATGAAAATATTGTCATCATCTCACCCATGTTATTTTGAACCCGTATGACTTTGGTTCTTCCATGGAACACAACAGAAGATGCTCTGCTACTGTTTATGCTACCCCTAAATGGTTTACAAATAGTTATTTTTGGAGCTTGGCAGGTCATGGTCACCATTACCTTCCATTTTATGTGAAAAAAGCGGCGCAACATCGCTGAGAAGAAAATCACATTGGTTTTGGAACAGCATGAGAGGGAGCGTTTTCATTTTAATAGACCTTCTTATGCAGAACACTGAAAGATGTCTGGCCAGCTGTTGTGTATGTGTGTGACGGTGAACACCCATCTGTTTCCATGTGGGTGGTTTGCATTTAAGCATAAAGTTTATTTTCTATTGATTACAATATTTGTAATTTATTATCTAGGCTAATCCTTGAAACTATAAGTTGTGACAGATGATATTTTCTATCAAATGTAAAAAAGGAAGATTATTTCTGAAGGATAAATATTTTATATAATTAAAAAAAAAAGAATAAAAATCCAACGGTTTAATTTTATTGATAATTATTAACTATTAACAGAAACCATGCGATGATCCAAAACATTGTATGTAGTCAGAATGAATACAATTGAATCAAGAAACTTAGGGGTTCTAAAGTGAAAATCCTTATAAAGTACAACATCAGGTTTGGCATTTAAAAATTAAAAAATAATATTTGTTCAAAATACATAAATGGCATTGAAATACTGATTTTTGTGTAGTTATTTTTCTTTAGTGCATTCTATATACTCAGTATGTATACTACAGTATTATTTACACAGTGTGACATGCAGTATATTGTCAAAGCATTATTTGTCATATTCATATTCATGCCACATCCCTGGATATCATAAGATACTGTGCAGACACCTCTGTCAGTGTGAAGATAGCTCTGTTATGACCACCCGTATATTCTTGGCTCACGGATGACACATTCAAAGCTGCAGATGTAGAGGGAATCCTTCATGCTGAGTGTGATTTATATGTCTTTTCCCCTGAATTTTATATGCTGTCAGCAGGGGTCTTTCCTGTGTGTGAGTGAAATATTAAACACCAGCGCCTTATTTTTTTCACCTTGTCAGAGGAAATCTTTGCTGCAGGTCCACCAGCCTGCCAGAAGCTTCCTGTTTATCAATGAGAGTCACAGGGCACTTGTTCAGCTGTTAGTTACTGATCTTTAGCAACGGCTGACATTTTAGCCTGCATGTTTGGATATCAAGTGAATACCAACTGCAAAGGCACAAACAAGCCAGTGCCGTACACCTGTCTGATCCTCTTTCATTTAATTCCAGTTTCTTTAACTGATCTTGTTTATTTTTATGTCTCCCCTGAAAAGACACAACAAGACTGTTTGCCTTCTGTAGTCTGATTAAGCAGGTTAAAAAATTAAGCATTTAAAAAAAATTAATGTTAAAAATTAAAATTAAATTAATGTTTTTAGTCTCTTGTGCTGACAAAGGCTGCATGTGTTTGATGATAAATATATTAATCATATTGAGAAATATTATATTTTAAAATGTGTCAAAGCTGAATTTTCAGCAGCCATTACTGTAGTTTTCCATGTCACATGATCCTTCAGAAATCATTTTAAAATGAAATAAACATTTCTTCTTATTATCAATGTTGATAACTGTTTTGCTGCTTAATATTTTTGGGGAAATCATGAATGATGCATTTTTTCCCCAGAATTCTTTGATGAATAGAAAGTTAAAATGTACAAAACAATCTTTTGTAACACCTTTACAGGCTTTATTGTCACATCTGATCCATTTAATGCAGAATAAATAGCCTTGCTGAATAAAAGTATGATTTCTTAACGAAAAAAGTTCTTACTGACTCCACAACTTTGAACAGTATAGTGTATAATAATAATAATTATTAAAATCACCATATTTAATAGTGGTGTAACAAATTGACTTGTATTTTATTATATTGCCTTTTATTATATTATAATATTTCACATAGGTTTTATAATGAATAATGTAATTGTTTAACAAACTATGATTTAAAATTCAATCTAAATATCTATAATATAATGGTTTTAGGTTAAACATAATGTGTCTCACTGCAGGGCACATGTCAGTTATAACTATACCCATGCTTTTAATCCCATCAGATTTTTGGATTAAAATCTGCCATGTCCGGTCATTGTCTTTTTTAGAAAATGACTATTTTTGTTGCACTCAAAATTGATGTGTCTGATTTATAGCATTATTTGCTGCTTGATGTGAACTGTGAAACATTGTCTAAACATAAATACAGCCTAAGAGGGAATAGCATAATGCCAGCAAATCGTGTGAATCGCTTCAAGAGTATGTCTCCTTGTCTTGCTGAGAATGTTGAGTCTTTCAAGAGTACAAGATTACTGCTCATTCATTAACGGTTAAATCTTGTTTAGCAGACAGACTGAATTGTTTTTTATGATCTCCAGTACACGGAGGAGAAGCTTGGCCAGGCAGAAAAGACTGAGCTAGATGGCCACCTGGAGAACCTGATTGCTCGAGCGGACTGCACCAAAAACTGGACTGAAAAGATCTTCAGACAGACCGAGGTGCTGCTTCAACCCAACCCAAGTAAGAGTCTACATGGGCATTATACGTTTAAAATGGTCTGTTGTTATTAGATACCGTTTGAAATGTGTGGTCTTGTCTCCTAAATGTTGAGCCCAAACAGAGGTCCTGTATGTTGAAAAATGTCTCATGTTGTTGACATTTACCATTAACGTGATGAACAGGAACATCCCTTGACTGTTTGTTGATATCAATCTGCTTTAATGTACAGGCAGCCAGGGAAATATGATGCCTAACAACCATCTTAAAACAGCAGTAGTGCTCAAGTGTCACCATGTCAGGTATCACATTATGTGAATGGATTGTATTGTCTTTGCACCCTTGATTTTTATTTTCTCTCTTCTTATTGCTATGGTAGTTTCACTAATTATAAGAGTAAACAAATGTTTTACAAGGGTGCTGAGATGTACAGTAAACTGGCATAACAGTTCAAATCTGAGCTATTAATCGTTACTGTGCTCTTGAGCAGGATATATAATATAATTTATATTAATTATATTCTAATAATTATATCAGAATAATTTCTGAAGGATCATGTGACACTAAAGACTAGAGTAATGGCTGCTGATAATTCAGCTTTGCCATCCCAGGAAATATTACAGATTTACTGTATTTTTAATCAAATAAATCCAGCCTTGCTAAGCATAAGAGACTTCTTTCAAAACATTAAAAAATCATACTAACTCCAAATGTTTGAACGGTAGTGTATATCTAATAGTATAGTCAAAAATCTGCATTTGCATTTTATGTTGGCATTTCACAACTGAATAAACAACATGAAACATTTTATATTAATACTCGTTCAGTTATCATTTCTGAATCATTGATAAGGCCACAGGTTTCAGATGCTTTAGAGCTCATCTTTGATGGCAGTACCTTTCATGTTCGTATTTAAGCATTTAATGTAAGTGCAAGAGGTACTTATGGCCTAGTGATTGTGTACTAGTAAGAGCACTAACCTGTTCTTTCTAACTCTCTCCATGCTCCAGTTGACCAAACTGGTAAGTGTGTCTCTACTCCCCGTGGCCTGTGCTTTGGGTCTTCAGTTTAATGACTGATGTTTAGTATTAGACCCAGCTTGTGGCGGACGCTCTTCTCACTGTTTTTGTTACAGTAGTACTATCCTTTTGCGGATGAGTTTGTTTGTCCTGTGGTTTTAGCCAGACACAAGTTTAAACACCTGTTCTTCAATCATCTGATTATCTTAACCAGATCTGGTTATCAAATCTGTGAGGCCTCTTCAAATCAACACAGGGCATTGTGTTCATAGCTGGAATGATTTGTCAAAGACCGTTATTATATCACATTTTGCCATTACAACCCCACATGGGTTTTATGTTTTCATCTGTGATGTCTACATCAAAGACCTGTGTCTTTTTTTTTTTTTTTTGCTTTATGGTCTCTCGAAACAATGTTCCAAATATTACAATAAAATATTCGGAACATTTGTAAATGGTTGATGGACTGGATTGGTAAACATGATGGTGCAAAATGGTGTACTTGATTAAGTTTATTGGAGTAAACCTTGAATAAAGCTTGATGTCTTTTTTACTGATGTGAATCTTTGTTTAGGTGCCCGTATTGAAGAGTTCTTCTATGAGAAATTGGACAGAAAGATCCCATCCAGAACCACCAATGCAGAGCTGCTGGGACAGTATATGCAGGATGCTGCAAAGGAATTTGGGCCAGGAACTCCATATGGTTCGTACAACCAACCAGAACTAAATTAATATAATGCAGCTTTTTTAAAATGGTTATTGTTTTTTTTAATTGGAAAACACACAAAAAAGGGAAAAAGTTATTTTGTTAAGATAAAACGGCTACATATATCCTAACTAAGAAATAATAATAAGCAGTTTGCTCATAATCAAAAAGTATCTTTACCTACTAGAAGCCAGTGCATATCAATTTACTGAATTCACAAATTCTATAAACAAATTCTCATCTTTTTTATTGTTTATTTATTTACTTAATACACCATATGAGACAGGATTGCCGCTACCCATTCTCCCTTTTTCCTGTTTCCACTGATTGGCTTCTGACATGACAAATGAAAAATGAAGCATTCCCTTTGTATTATTTTTGACCAGTGTTATTATGTTGTATACTATGCTATGTTTTGCAGTGCTATAGTAATGGAGGTCTCTAAATCAAGTTAATGTTTAGCTGCATGGTGTATGTCACTAGATGGCGCACTTTCCCTTTCTAAACAGGTGGAGCATAAGGTTTGTTGGCAAGTAGGTCTTCATGGATGCTTATAGGTTAGAATTTACTGAGGGAATCCTGTGTTTTTTTTTCTCAGTTATTATTTTATATTAGAACTTTATATATTATAATTATAACAATGCTGGTTTAAAAATATTTATGAAAATCATGCTCGTCTTAGATATGTCAACATTCCAAAAAAAACATCACGACCACTACCAAGGTAAATATGACATTATGAATGTATATTTCATTTACAGAGAATCAAAGCAGCATCAGAGCATCTGTCTAAACATGCTTTATGTGAGACAGAGTGTTTCATTCTGTGAGTTTAGGTCTCTGATTGATGAAGATACCTACATCAGTAACTAGTTGAGATGACTCAAAGACCGTTTTGTCTATAATCTGATAATCTTAATGTTCCACTTCCATCTGAATGAGTTAAAAGTGTGCAAACCAAATTATTTGAAGCAGTCAGTAATTCACGAGATGTTCTTGGTTAGTTAAACAGGTTTGAAAATGATTTGACAGGAAAAGATTGAAAATGTCATTGCAATGCTGAGTTGTACGTAATATAGTGTTTTGGGAATGTTTTGCCTGTGTTTTTAGGTAGTACTTTGATCACTGTTGGAGAGTATCAGAGGAGATTGGGTGGAGCAGAGCGGGAATTCCTACAGACGTCAGCCATCAACTTCCTCACACCTCTGAGGAACTTTCTAGAGGGTGACTGGAAAACCATTTCCGTGAGTGAAATGTACAATCTCCGTCTCAGATGGTTCACCTCCATCTGATATGTAAACCAATATACAATGGCTGTTAAAATCTGCTAGTTACAAAATGATTGGCTCCTGCCCGTATTATTCACCTTTTTTGAAAGTGGATGACAATGGAGGTTTCGCACATTCAAATTACAAATGGTTTTACATTTAAATAGTATACATTTGTCTTAAATGCATTTAGCTGAACCTTGGAGGGTTTTTTTTGGCTTTGATTGTGTTTTGGAATATGGTTAAAGTGTACTGCCGAATGTACTGACAAGCCTTTATGGTATCTAAAATATACTTTAATGTCATTTCTATTGGAGCTTGTATGTCATGTATTTTAATATATTTGTAATTAAACATTTGTATTGATGAAGTTATATATAAATACTACATTTAAAATGACAACCAAATACTTAAATGCTTTAGTATGTTAACATGTCAAAATACAGTAAGTGTACTTCTTTAAAGCACAACAAAAGATTATTTGATTTAAAATGTACTTTTGTACTTAAGAGTGTTAAGAAACATCATCATGAAAGTGTATTCTCTTGACAGGCTGAAGTGGCCTTTTATTTCATTAATATTATATTATCTTTTTAAAAATGTACTTTTAATATGTGAAGTACACTACAAGTGCACATTCAAGTACAATTAAGCACACTTCCTCTCTCACAAAAGTCTGTTTGTTCTGTTATCAGAAAGAGAGAAAGCTACTTGAGAACCGGCGTCTTGACCTGGATGTTTGCAAAGCTCGGCTCAAGAAAGCAAAGTTAGCAGAGGCCAAGGCTGCTGTAAGTTTTATTTTCACTTATTTCTTCATCATCATTTTCACGTGTCTTCCTCCCCTCATGTTCTTTCATCTCCTCCACCACCCTCTCATCAAGAACCACTTATAAGCTGTTAAGCAAGATTCAGATCTCTAGAGGGACATTTCAGGAAGTATGACCTAAAGCAAGGATACTTAATGTCTATCCCACAGCCACAAGGTTATAATTGACTCACAATCACAATTATGTTACTATGTCTCTTGCAGTGTGCAAACAAACAATGTGATGTGTCAAATCAAACACTGAAAGCATGAAAACAGACAGTTAAAGTGCCCCTATTATGCCATTTTTAAGGTTCCTAATATTGTTTTGGGAGTCTCCTACAATTTGCATGCAAAGTCAAAAAATGCTTTCGTTTTCTCAAAATATGCATTTTATATTTTTCAACGATTTCTCAAACGATTAGTTCGAAGCGGTTCTAAGATTCAGTCTCTCTAAGACCCTTTTTTCCGTGAGCCTGCTCTGCTCTGATTAGTCAGATGGCCCAGTCTGTTGTGATTGGTCTACCGCATACAGCGCGTGTCATGGAGCAGCATTTACGACACAGAGCCGTTGTTCACTGACAAGCTGCACAAAACCACGATCATATTTTGCGCATGTTTTGCGCAGCTTGTCAGTGAACAACGGCTCTGTGTAGTAAATGCTGCTCCATGTGAAAGCCCGCACGTGATGGGAGATTTACCGCTGATTACAGAACCGGCAAGATTTACTGGCAAGATGCGCATTAAATATCGCATGCGATTTATCATGCAGCCCTACACCTGTGCCATAGTTCCATATTTTGAACGCTCGACAGAGAATATAAACATCTATTATTCATCATACTTAAACAGGCTGTGATTCAGTGGAGCCAGCTGGTCCAAATAAACTGGGTACTGAGCCAAGAGCCAGCGTTTTGTGAATCCCGCGTTGAACTCGGTAAGATTAGAGAAGCAGTCATCAGTAAAATGGGAACACAAAAAAAAAAAAAGATTGGGGTTGTACTGCTGTGGTACAGTGGAACATTTTTAATCACTGATTCTTTGCAGCCTCATCTTTCGGAAATGAAAATTAAACTAATTTACTATCACCGTATAGGACACAGCATCTTCTCGACATGAACAAGCTACAGTGTTTGAGGGCGGGGTCAAGTTGTTCACAGCCGGCCAACGTAGAACATACATTATGCAAATGTGTTACCCTGTGACGTGTAGCCGTCATGGAAGTGGGATTCGAGTTTCTGATGATTCGTTTAGGCTGTTCAGAGTCGATTCTTTATTTTGGGAGACAATAACTATATTTATCGTGCACTTTTGGCTTTACAACTTTGCAAATCTTTTACATTCACATACAGCTACATTGCATACTGCATGAAAGGCAATGGCATAGGGGCACTTTAACCACAAAATGGACTGATTCCTAATAATCGTTTAACAAACAAAGTATTTCTGAATGCTTCATTGGTGTGTAAATAAAATGTACGTTTAAATTCACCTTGACTAACTCATTCTGGACAATGAAAAAGTGGACAAACTCGTACTGTTTTGATGCATGAGGTGACAAAATATGAGGTTCATGTTAGATATCACTGTTATTGGTTAAAGCCAATCAGTTATCTGTAACACTTTATTTAGGTCTCACTGACTTAACGTTAGTTAAGTTAAGATATTCATGAAGCAGACTTGGAGTTCTGTCTGGGAAGCTCTGAGTCAGGGGGCATACGCAAACATCCTGATGATGCAAATGACCCTGCTCATGACTTCTCTTTTCACTTAGATGTTTGCTTCTTCATTTTATGCCTTTCAGTAATTGAAGAATTTGTAGTTTACGCAGAGGGCTGAGTCACATGCTGTTTTATCATGTTTTCATTTCTTCTTTTCCTGCATAGTTGATATTGTTTGCTAATTCACCCATTTAGGTGTGATTTCCCTCCTGACACTTATCAAGTATTACAGGGGTAATCTAAGGTCAGCAGGGCATACCCAGACTATTGTTACCTCTGTTCTAATCTCCAAGAGGAACCTGGATGGGTGTGTGTGTGTGTGTGTGTGTGCGCGCGTGTGTGTGTGCGCAAGGAAACACAATTATGACTCCGTCATCATATGTGCTGTGTCTGATCTTTTCCATTTCCATGTATTCACTAACGCGTTTCTCTGTTGTCATTTGCGCAGTGTGAGGGAGATGTGAGTATCCGTGTGTGTGTGTGTGTGATTTACTGCCTTTCATCCTTTGCTGCTTCCTGCAAGCAGTTACTTGTACAGGCTTGATAGTTGACCAACTGTATCTTCCACCTCTGCAGTGCCTTGATAAAAAAAATAAAAATCTTTCAAAAGTCAGTCCTTCTTGAAATCACAGTCACATTAAATGGCTGCATGTAATTTGTAATTCTTTTTAATGTACTGTATATTATAGAGCAGGGTTTCGCAACTGGATGTCCACAAACCCATGATGAAAGTGGAGGGGTTTTGTGAAATTCAAATGATAAAAATGGAAAAAAAAAGAAAAGAAAAAAAGAAGCTAAGCTATTTTAAGCCAAAGATAAAAAAGCTTAATTTAAATGAATAGTGTGTATGTTTCTAGTGTGCATAATATATGCATACACACACACATATATACAGTGGGTATGGAAAGTATTCAGACCCCCTTAAATTTTTCACTCTTTGTTATATTGCAGCCATTTGCTAAAATCATTTAAGTTAATTTTTTTTCCTTATTAATGTACACACAGCACCCCATATTGACGGGGTCTGAATACTTTCCGTACCCACTGTATATATATATATATATATATATATATTTGATTGTATGTATGTGTATATATAATATTAATGACTAATTTTATGTATCTCTGTTATCTATTGTATAAGAATCTGGTCCACTTTGGCTAATTTCAACAGCAATTAATATTTACAAAAGTAGGCCACATAGAGACCAGAGCATTGTGCTCTTCACGATACACAGCAGTGCAAAGGGTACAAAGAAAAAAACTGCTCTTGTTCTATGTCATACAGTACAACTGTACTAAGATAAAACATTACTGTTTATAAAACTCCTGCAAACCCTCGTGTTGTTCGAAACCCGTAAGGCCCTGTCCCAAATCGCACCCTAAACCCTCGCGGTCTTCCTCTGAGTCCGCATTTTCGTGACGTAATGCCGCTTTTACTGTCGGGTAGAAGTCTGCTGTGGAGCTCGCCCCAGCGCGGGCTCAGCAGAAGTGCGCATCGAGGGCGCATATCGGCCGCAAAGGGGGCGCTCGCGAGCACACTTTTGAACGCTAAAATGATGAATGGGACACCCAACGGTCTCGTGGACTTAACGGACACACGCACGCGGCGGTCATTGTAAGTCCGCAAGACCGAAAGTGCACATGAAGTGTTCCATTTGGGACAGGGCCCAATTCATTCTTTGGACGCGCGTTCACGACAGTACCATGGTAATTTCGTGAACGCGCATCCAAAGTGACGCAGTAGAGCCAAAAATGTGGAATAAAGTCGTTATTTTTGTTTTCTTTGCGCAAAAAAGTATTCTCGTAGCTTCGTAACTTTACAGTTGAACCACTGATGCCACACGGACTACTTTGTTGATCATCTTGGTACTTTTCTGGACCTTTAACGTGGTAGTTACCTTGCTGTCTATGGGAGGGTCAGAGAGCCCTCAGATTTCATCAAAAATATCTTAAATTGTGTTCCGAAGATGAACGAAGGTCTTACGGGTTTGGAACAACACGAGGGTGAGTAATTAATAACAGAATTTTCATTTTTGGGTGAACTAACCCTTTAAGCACTAAAACAAGATTATCAGTAAAAACTACTGAAAAATGTAATGAAAAGTAATAGTAACAACATCTTAATAAATGATCATGCTTTTTGTTATTTAATTTTTATATTTTACTTAATTTTATCATTTTATTTATTTATTTTGGTTTGGAGTGCAATGAAGTGATGCAAAAAATCTACTGATACCGTCCTAATTTGCCTGTTTTTTGTGTGTGGGAGAGGTTACAGGCTGGTTTGTCAAGTGTTTTTGTTGTTTTTTTTGTGAAAATATGAAAATAGTGTTGTCTGCTGGGTTAGTTCATGTGGACACATGATTCTTTGTAAAACTCTGTTTTCCCCCCCTCCACCTGTAGGCTGCGCCTGACTTTCAGGAGACTAGGCCACGCAATTATGTTCTGTCGGCCAGTGCATCTGCGGTAAGAAGGCTGCAGACCCTTAGCATTAGAAGTCTTCCCCCATACATGCTCTCTTTTTCTCTCTATTTCTTTCTACATGACCTTTATTTTTACATACGATATTTCCCCACCAATATTTGCACCAACTCTTGTAAATTTAGACTAGCAGAATGTCCTCCTACAGTCCGTTCTCTGTGGGGGTGGTATAGCAGTATACGCTTATTGTGGATAAAAATCATCAGCTAAAGCAATTAATTAATAAACAAGCCCCCATTATTACACCTAAGAGCTTTTGGACCAGGTATCATCCTCTACCCTTTGCCATTACCTGGAATCTCGGATGGTTGAAATGTGCAGGTGATAGTGAGAAAATGGCCTCACTAAAACTTTTCCATCGTCCCATTACTTTTTCATTCCACGCAGTGGGATAGTGAAGTTGGCGATTCATCTCTGAGTGACAGAGAAAAGGTTGTATGAACTTGAATCTGAAGTGAAGCCTTAATATAAAGCCCTCATAGAGTAGTGTACTTATAGACATGCAATATATATTGTGTGTGTCTTGTTAGCACAGCTCAGTAATGGACGGTTGCATCTCCTTTCAAGATTTGTCTGTGTTGTTGACCCATTATTTAACTCTAGTCCTGCTTACCTCTCTGTCAATGTTGTGAGATGTCTTACATCTCCCGTCTTGCGGTGTTGTGTGCCTGTGTGCCTTTCCCTGGGTGTTTGAATAATGTTTTGGCGACAACTGATGCAATACATGTGTATTTAGTTGACTAGTCCCAGTAGTACATAATGCTGTTTTGTTGTTTGTGTGTGTTCATATAGATATGTTATATACAGTAAAGCTCAAAAGTTTGGACACAGCTATTTTATTACACAACATTCTGGAATGTTCAATTCTGAAAAATTCGATTTTAAGCTTGTCTAAATTTTTTACTGGTTCTGTAATATAGTTTGAAATAATATTGACATGTTATTGCACGAGTCTAAACACGAATATCCTCTGCGATGAACATTTACAGTGGAATGCAGGGGTTGGAAAACTTTGCTTTTATTCTTTCATTTTATTTAAAATATGTGTGTGTGATCACTTATTTTTCATTGTAGTTGTTGTGTCATTGTACATTTAAATAGGGTCTTGACTAGGGTTGGGTACCGAAACCCGGTACCTATGTAACCGGTATGTACTAGAACCGAATCAGAACGCAGATTTCGGTGCCACGATGCCTGAGCGATCGATTGAAATATGATTGACAGAGATACAGTAGAAACATTATGTGTGGTTTTGTATTAAATATTGTTTTGTATTAAATAATGACCCAGATCGTGAAATACATTTATTAGCCTTAGAGTAAGGGAAGCACAACTCGGGAAATGAGAGCATCCAAGGAGCATGTGAATGCTATGTATATTTATTTTTTATATTTTTAATGTTCTTTAAAGTTATCCATCATTTTTTATGTGGCTTTTTTTTTGAAGTATTGGTTTAGGCACCGGTACCGTTTTAAAAGTATCGATTTGGCACCGGTATCGTAAAAAACCCAATCGATACCCAACCCTAGTCTTGACATTATAGAGGGTTCAGGAGCCTGTGCTGCCCATGATCGATTGAAATATTTGTCCTGGTTCTCTGAAATGGACGTAAGACGCATGGGCGTCGCTTGGCCATTTTTAGCGGGGCTATAGCGATTAGCTCCATAAACTGTACACAAATTCATGATCGCCTCAGAGTCAGTCCTCTTTAAATTTCATATGAAAACGGCGGCAGACTTTTCGTCTCCTCCCCGTCTTTCAGCGCGCTCTTCAATCAGACGCGTGGCACAGCGCGAGCGGACTCAAACATAGGACACACAAGGTGTGTGTGTTTATCGCTAGATTGTTATAATATCTGTATCTGTGCAGTTCTTTGTCATAATTTTTATATTTTTAATGTTCTTTAAAGTTATCCATCATTTTTTATGTGGCTTTTTTTTTGAAGTATTGGTTTAGGCACCGGTACCGTTTTATAAGTATCGATTTGGCACCGGTATCGTAAAAAACCCAATCGATACCCAACCCTAGTCTTGACATTATAGAGGGTTCAGGAGCCTGTGCTGCCCATGTGTCTGATTACATTAGAATGTCTCTTTCAATCTTAAGATCCCATGAAGTGTCATTTCCTTAAATTTACATGTGAAATTTAGTGAGTGTTTTTTATTTGGGTCTGTATTTGTAAAGAGAGGGTTTGTGTTATGTTGTCTTCACGGTTCTTCTCTTGTCGTTATGCTGCATGTTCCAGCTGTGGAGTGAGGAAGTGGATAAAGTGAGTATCGGGCAAGATCCACTCCTTCCTTTGCTGCCTTTGTTTCCTTTGTTCTAATGGAGCAATGAGTATTATTTTACGTAATAAATGTTTGCATAATAACAGATGTAATTCATGTGAACAATGATAGTTTTCTGCTCCCACTGCTTGTATTTTTATCTGTACTGATTTCCATCTGTCAATCTTTAAGAAGAAAATCTGACTTAACATACCTAACAAACAATACAGATTTCAGCAAGTCTTAAATTCTTCTCACATTATAATGACTACAATGTTGAGAATGTTGGATATGAATCGAACATCATAATATCTGGCTGTCCAGACTTATAGAAATATAAAGCAGTAAAAATGTGCTCTGAAGAAATGTTAAGAAAGCTATTAAAAAAAAAATAAAGGCAACATGGTCATGATTTATGAGTGGATACATTTACCTTTAGCCAAAAGAGACGTTTTTGTTACAGCATGCTACAAAACCCAGCTATTTCTTTGTGTTTTCTGCTAAATAGTGCTTGGTTAGCAAGAAATGTTGCTTTCATCATTTCATCCTTATTATAAATGTTATAATAAATGTTAAATTTTAGAATATTTACAAATGACATGCACTTTACATGAAGAAACTTTACATGCAAAATATGACTACTGACGTATTGGAAGGTTATTTGGCGCCGCGATGAACATCGCAATGTCACGGAGTTCTGTTATAATCAGGGTTGGGAGGGTTACTTTTAAAATGTATTCCGTTACAGTTACAAATTACTTCATTAAAAAAGTATTCAGTAACGTAATCCAATTACCACAATATAAAAGTAATGTAATCTGATTACTTTTGGATTACTTCAAGTTACATATGTTAATAAGTCAAAAAAGCAATATTTAAGTACTTTTACTTAACTATGACTTTAAAATTAAAGTTTTATTTTTATTATTATTTTTTTTATTTCTTTAACATGTACAAGTAAAAATAAATATAGTTTATACACAACACTAAAAAATGTACACCATATACATATTAGTGCATTTTAAAATAAGCCTAACTTTACATGTCGAAATGCATGTGAAATGCTATGATCTTTATTTCATTGACTGATCCGGGGTGTGGGGACTCATGTTAATTTAGCTAGAAAGCTGACAACTGCACTCATGCACACCATGGAATTTTAAATCACTAGCAAACATTACATTTTAGCTAACGATGATTTCAATGCTAGTCGGACTCGTACCTGCAAATGTTCAAGTTGGTTGAGTAGCCTTTGTTAAAGCAAGAGTCTTCTTGCATAGCTTACGCTGTACAACTATGTTATTTCCTTTATCCTCTTGAAAACAAAATAACTGTGAAATTTCCAGACATGAAAACGTTTTTCACAGCAGGAAGCATCGTAATTAATTTACTGTAGCAGCGTCTCATCCCGCGTTTGAGGAGAATAATTGTAGACGGGTGTTATTTGCGCACGCACCAGCAGGCGGCTCACGTGAGTCAACATGTGTCAACCGAACCAGGAACTGATGAAGCAGTGTTAAATATATAGCGTTATGTCAAAATACTCATTTATTTAATTTTAAATTAAACAAATGTAATCCTGATAGTATTCCCACTTTTTACAAAATGTAACTGTAATCTGAATACTTTGTTTTTTGATGTAACTGTAACGGATTACAGTTACTAGATTTTTGTATCCTGATTACGTAACGCCATTACATGTATTCCGTTACTCCCCAACCCTAGTTATAATGAACGAATCTCTTATTTACATCGCGTTTAAACTTTGTTTGTTATAATGAGAGGATTTGCGAGCTTGCATAACTCAGCACTGAACAAAACTACAGTGTTTTGAAGGGGACGCTTGAACTTAAACGCCTCTGATGGGCCATTGCGTTCAAGAAATTACCAGATATGTCTGTGATTGGCTACATTGCTCAACGCTGCACAAACACGTTGTAAATGGAAACCTGGGAAGTGCTCCTGAGCGCAAACACAATACGCATTGGAGCGTTTGCCAAGTCTGTTTTGCCAATATCCTACTTTTGCCGCCTCAACTGAGCGTGCTCTTGCTTTTATTTATAGCGCCCCCTTTTTATTTATAGAATCCCCGTAAACCAGGACCGCTTCAGAATAATGTCTCGGAGCTCATTCATGAATTTGTGTGAAGAATACGCGGCATCCGTGTGCGTCTGAGCACATGCGCACTTTGGCCAGAGCTGCGATTAAGGCATTTACATGCCTGTTTATTGCGATTAAAATAGGCGTACGCCACATAGTTTAATGCGATTATGGTTACTACGATTATGAGCTTAATCACATTATTTTGATCGAAATATGTGTTTTCGTGAGGTAAAGTTTAATTGCAATTTTGCCAAAATCCAATTATAATACTAAAGTAGGCTAATTTCAGTGTTGGGGAGTAACTAGTTACATGTAACGGAATTACGTAATTTAATTACAAAATAAATGTAATTGTAATCAGTTACAGTTACTGAGAAAAAATGTGTAATTAAATTACAGTTACTTATAAAAATGTTAATGATTACAAAGGGGGTTACATTAGATTTTTTTTTTCACACACCCACATACAGATTTAATTGATTTCTTTCATAAGTTGCAGTGACTGCTCTAAAATATGAGACACCAATGTCTCAGGAATTTAGTACAGAAAATAGGACACATGCTTATTTGATGACTGTTTTATTTCCTATTTGGGTTTATATATACATTTTATTTTTTTAAGATTAACTGTTTTTTCCAAGGCATTGTTAGATTCCAGTGTTTCCTGTCATAGCTTGCAAATATTTGATTTCAAAAACATTATCATAGCTATTAAACTATTTCTTGTTATGATTTTAAATCTGTATGTAACCTCCGAATGATCTCAAAGTACGTCTGATTTTGTGGTGGCTGTGCTTTAAAATTAAATTGATATAATCTTAATTCAAGTGATGAAGGATTTTGAAAGTCTGACAGTAATTACAACCCCAATTCCACAAAAGTTGGGACGCTTTGTGAAATGCCATAAAATCAAGAATATGTTATTTGTTCATTCTCTTTAACCTTTATTTAATTTGACTAAAGTACAAAGAAAAAATTTCCAGTGTTTTCACTGGCCAACTTAATTTTATTTTGTAAATATAAACAAATTTTGATGGCTGCAACACACTTAAAAAAAGTTGGGACAGAGGCGTGTTTACCACTGTCACATCAACTTTCCTTTTAATTACACAGTTTAATTGTTTAGGAATTGATGATACTAATTGTTAAAGGTTTGCAAGCAAACTTTTCGTCCAATCTCGCTTGATACAAGACTTCAGATGCTCCGCAGTCTGTGATCGTCACTGTCTGATTCTCCTTTGCATGACTGGTCGGACATTTTCAATAGGAGACAGATCTTTGCTGCAGGCAGTCTAGCACATTCACTCTGTGTCTACGAAAACCACGCGGTTGTAGCACATGCAGAATGAGACCTGGCATTGTCTTGATCTAATAACCATGGACTTCCCGTGAAAGATGTCATCTTGATGGCAGTATATGTCTCTGTACATATCAATGGTATCTTCGCACATATTCCACCATGCCGTTTGCTCTGCTGCAGCCCCATACCATGACAGACATTTGCTTTTGCATCTGTCGCTGGTAAAAGTCTGGATGGTCCCTTTGCTCTTTGGGACTGAGAACTCGACGTCCATTTTTCTCAGAAACCAGTTGAAATGTGGACTCATCTGACCACAGCACACATTTCCACTGCCTTTTTGACTATCTGAGATGAGCTCTGGCCCAGAGAACGCTGCAGCATCACTGCATAGAATTGGTGTATAGTTTTCTCCTAGAGGAACAGAGATTGAAGTTGCATTTATTGATAAAGCAGCAGACTGTGTTAAGTGACTGCGGTTTTACAGAAGTACTGTGGCTATATTTAACACCGAAGCATGACGGCTCACACACATTCACTGGAGGTTTCATGCCTTGCCCTACACAGACTGAGATTTCTCTGGATTCCCTGAATCTTTTCACAATATTATATATGCTAGTTGGTGAAATACCTAAATTCTTTGTGATTTTGCATTGAGAAATGTTTTTATTTGTTTGACACTTCTCTCATGAAATTTGGCACATGAAAGTGATGAGCCTTGATCAAGACTGACATGCTCTTTTTATACCCAAACATGACACCCTCACCTATTACCAATTCACCTGCTTACTGTAAACTGTTTCAAAACAGTTTAATTAGGATACTCTATAACCTTTTCACTTTTATTTTGCCTCTGTCACAACGTTTTTGGAGTGTGTTGCAGCCATCAAAATCAAAATTTGTTTATGTTGGTAAGTGAAAACTTTGGAAGTCTTTTCCAAATTAAATAAAAGTTAAAGAGAAAGAACAAATCACAGATTCTTGATTTTATTGCATTTTACAAAACTTCCCAACTTTTCTGGAATTGGGGTTGTGGTGTTGAGCACTACTGTAAGGTTAACCCTGCCTGGTTTGAATGTTTGAAAATGACTAACAGTGAAACCATTAGAAATTTAGAAAAGTTATCAAATGTAATCAGTTACATTACTTTAATAAAGTAATTGAAAAAGTTACACTACTTATTATATACACTACTGTATCCTATTACATTTCCAAAGTAACCTTTCCAACACTGAGTAATTTTAACTATGTGCATGTTTCATCTCCTTCATAAATGGATTACAATAACCACCAGTTGTGCTAAATGGGGGAGTGTCGAGCAGTTAGAGCACATGTTGAGCCACGTGAGTCATGTGACGTGGTTTGAGGTTAAGGAGTCTGGCCTGTGTTAATTTCTTTTCCCTTTTCTCTCTGCATGGTTTCCTGTCCTCTCTCGACTGCCTCTTTCAAAAAGTGGCAAAAAGATTCATAATAAAGATGAAATTGTCAAATCAAAAATGTATTGTGTTGCTGAGAACCTATAAAACAAGAAAAAACTGAGGTCTTCATTTGCTTTAACAAGAATGTCTTTATTGGTTAACAGAGACTGCTTCCCAACTTTTCTGGAATTGGGGTTGTGGTGTTGAGCACTACTGTAAGGTTAACCCTGCCTGGTTTGAATGTTTGAAAATGACTAACAGTGAAACCATTAGAAATTTAGAAAAGTTATCAAATGTAATCAGTTACATTACTTTAATAAAGTAATTGAAAAAGTTACACTACTTATTATATACACTACTGTATCCTATTACATTTCCAAAGTAACCTTTCCAACACTGAGTAATTTTAACTATGTGCATGTTTCATCTCCTTCATAAATGGATTACAATAACCACCAGTTGTGCTAAATGGGGGAGTGTCGAGCAGTTAGAGCACATGTTGAGCCACGTGAGTCATGTGACGTGGTTTGAGGTTAAGGAGTCTGGCCTGTGTTAATTTCTTTTCCCTTTTCTCTCTGAATGGTTTCCTGTCCTCTCTCGACTGCCTCTTTCAAAAAGTGGCAAAAAGATTCATAATAAAGATGAAATTATGTCAAATCAAAAATGTATTGTGTTGCTGAGAACCTATAAAACAAGAAAAAACTGAGGTCTTCATTTGCTTTAACAAGAATGTCTTTATTGGTTAACAGAGACTGTTCCAAGTTGGCTGCACAAAATAGTTGAGCTATGTGGATGATGTGTCCTGTGGTTTCCCTTTTTTTTTTTTCTCTCTCTCCTTGTTTGTGGCTCCACCAGGCAGAGCACGAGTTGCGTGTGGCTCAGACTGAGTTTGACAGACAGGCAGAGGTCACACGCCTCCTGTTGGAGGGCATCAGCAGCACACATGTGAGTACCTGCACTTCTCACACTCGCACTGTCCGCTCTTTGACATTACACAAGCAAAATGAGTTGCAGTGCCACCGTTGAAAAGTTGGGGGTCTTTATGATTTTCTGAAACATTTTTTTGGGAAGAAATACTTAATACTTAATGAAAGTGACAGTAACAACATTTATAATGTTACAAAAGATTTCTGTTTCAAACAAATGCTGTTCTGTCTATTCATCAAAGAATCCTGAAATGTATTCACAGCTTATTTATTTTATTTTTTATTTGTTTTTAATTGAAAACAATCGTGACCCCAATCTTTTGAACAGTAGAGTATACCTCTCTCTGAATAAGGAAATGAGGAAAGAGACTTTCAAATTCTGCAATTCCATTGCAGGTGAACCACTTGCGCTGTCTGCATGAGTTTGTGGAGGCCCAGGCTGCTTATTACACACAGTGTCACAAGCACATGCAGGATCTTCAGAAAGAGCTGAGCAGGTGAGAACTTCAGTGAGGTGCTGCAAACTCCAAAATAAACATAAACAGCCATTTGTTCTTCTGTCCTAGAGCGACTGCAGTCAAATAAGACCATGTTCTACAGGAGATGCATGACAGTTTAGTAACTTTAGTCTATTTTTGATATAGAGAGATGTGGCAAAACAAGATGTGAGTAACAAGGGGTTTGCCTAACACATTCCCCTTTATGGCAACTGCTTTTCTAGTGAAGAAAATCACAAGACTTCTTGAGATCAACTTTGAGCTGATGTTTTTTTTTCTGCTTTTTCTTTCCTGTTCTTAGTGCGAACGGAGATACGTGAGTAACTTTTTCCATCACACTGAAAAAGGAAGAAAGTTTGCCCAATAAATTTAAGCAATTACATTCATGTGACTGAGAAATTTTCCTTCTTTCACTTTTCATGTAATATCTGTGTCATGAGTGAGCAACAGCTAGATATTTATATTTATAATTAGATTTATATTTATTCAGACACACTGTGTCCATGGTTTTGAATCTGTGAATCTGTTCCAGGTTTCCTAATGCTTTTGCTGTGAACGCCTCCACGTCAGGGGTGTCAGCAGACCCTTCTCCCCTTTCCACTGCCACCCTACCTGGGACTTCTCCACCTAGTCGTTCCCCAAACCCCTCCAATGCCCTTGAGTCCAGCACGCTGAAGATTGAGGAGGTGAAGCCTCCCGCCACTGGCACTCGCAAGGCCAAAGTGCTGTATGACTATGATGCTGCAGATACAAGTGAACTTTCCCTTCTCGCTGATGAGGTAGGACATGAGGAAGTCTGTTTTTCCTCTTTAACAGTCAGTAGCATTCATTATATCAGTATTAGTGATTTTAGTATGTACTGTAATGAGAATGTATTTTATTTAAAGGGGTCCTATTATGCTCTTTTACAAAGTCTTGATTTTGTTTTGGGGGTGTACTAGAACAGGCTCTCACACTAGGTTGTTCGAAAAACACATTATTTTCCACATATTTTACATTATTACAACACCTCTCTCCCCAGTCTAGCATGAACGGCTCGAATAGTTCCTGTATCAAATGAAGGCCCGCCTTCTGAAATACGAAATGTGTTGTGATTGGTTAGCTGGGCCAGTGTGTGTTGTGATTGGCAGCACTCGGTGCCTGGTCGGGAAATGTCATGCCCCTTACCATAGCCTCCTGCGAGCTTCAGTGTAAATATTGCATCAATATCAAATCAATTTGAGCACGATTTAAACCCGGATGATTGTAATCACTCTAAGTGCATCTGCTTTGGGAAAGCTAGCGTGTCTCCGACATAGTGATAACACTCATTGCCTTCTTTAGTGCAGCTCAACCAGGTCTCGTCCCATTCGTCGATCTTTGTGATATCACAAATCCCGGAAAATTTGCGTTGTAGTCCAAACGAGTCGTTCGTTGTAGTTTTTGAAAAGTGATTTCTGTTAAATAAAATATCTCCTTTTGAAGTGGACTTTGAGCTTTGTAACTTTGCAGATCTTTTTTATGCCCAAACAGCAACATTACAGACTAACTAAAGTTGAAAAAGTGAAAAAGCATATTAAACCCCTTTACGCTTAACTACTGAACTACTTTTTGGGAAATGTTTACCCGTAGTGGAAACTACGGAATCTGTGTAACTATTTAATTTTAAATACATTTTATTAAAGAGTATTGTTTTTATTATAAGTATTTATAATGTAATTATTATAAAAACAAATAATATATATTTTATTTTCTAATCCTTCTCACTTTTTTATAAATGACTTTCTTTTGTAGTTCTCTGTGTTGTTACTTAGAGTTTCTTGCCTATCATGGTCAGTTTAAGCTAACTTACAGTCTCTGTGACATTGCCTTTTGTTTAATGAAATGGGCTGGTAAGTAACCTAAAGGTTTTAAGTTTGAAACTTGTTTATAAACCATCGCAATTGTCCCCATATGCAAGTCTGCCAGACAATGTCATATGATTCAGCCTCACAGACCTGCCTCTGTAATACACGCCTATAAAACTCAATCCTCAAAAGACGTCAAAGGGGTGCCTGCAGATGTGTATTTGTTAATACATGTCTGTTAACCACGGTTTATACATGTCAACTGTTACAGTATATCTGAATGTAGTGAATGCTTTTGGAAGACTGTGCCATTGCAACACAATCAGCCCACATCAAAATGTCTACTTCATTTTTTTCTTTCTCTCTGTTTCTTTCTGTTATTCTGTAGCTTATTACGGTGTACACGGTGCCCGGCATGGACCCAGACTGGCTTATTGGAGAGCGAGGCAACCAGAAAGGCAAAGTGCCTGTCACATACCTGGAGCTCCTAAGCTAGACGCAGCCTCCTCTTCACAAATACAGAGTCATACTGAATTATGCATGAACAAGTACTCAAGCACTCATGAACACTCAGTGAATTTACCTGGTTTCTTTCTATTTAGTTTTTTCCCCCGTAATACCTAGATTCACATCTAGGTCTGTCCATGTTACTGTGCATAAATATGTATTATTGTTTTTTAGGCCCTAGTTATGTTCTGTGTATGTTGTTTCATTTGAACACTATCCTGCATAAGGCTTTTCTTTAAGTAACTGATTTTATTTCCTTTATGGTCCTGTGACTGCTAGATTTTTCTGAAGTCTTTCTTACCCTCCAAGTGAAGACAACAAACTGAAACTGGATCTGAGTTTGTGTGTGTGTGATCATGAAGACACTAAACATTTAGGCTTTGCTTCTTTGTGTGTCGTCTCGCTCATCATGCTTGTATGTTTATATGGTGGTCTTGGATTGATATCAGTTTGATTCCAAATGAGGCATTTATGGTATTAGGTGCGGTTATGATGTACAGTATGTGGTTAACTGTGATCTGTTCATATTCAAAATACTGATTTTCTTTACCTCCAGTGGTACTTATTCACATCCATATCTGCTCAGTCAGCACCTTCCCACTTTTGTCTTTGTGTTCTGTGCTTGTTCCAAATAGCGATGCATGTTGAATGAATACAATATAAATATATAATAAAGAGAGATTTACTGGGTCTTGATCTAGATGTTGTCTTTCTAATGGGGGTTGTCATCTAAAGTACTTAGTGGTGAGACGTCAATGACTGGCTTATGCCATTTTGTATATTACTACTTAGAAAAATGAAAAATAATTCAATCAATAATCAAGAAAAGTGCAATGGTACATAGTAAAATAGGATTATGGGGGTAATGTATTTTATAAAACCTGTTTTTGCAAAGGAAACTCAAAAGGCCACTTGTGTAGACACACACACACACAATGAATGAACACACACACGGAGCAGTGGGCAGCCATTTTTGCTGCAGCGCCCGGGGAGCAGTTGGGGGTTTGGTGCCTTGCTCAAGGGTCTCACCTCAGTTGTGGTATTGAGGGTGGAAGAGAGCGACCTTCTGATTACAAGTCCGACTCTCTAACCATTAGGCCACGACTGTAGTACTTTCAGACAGAACAGCCTGAAACCACTAAACCGGCCGGAGGCTTTGCCTATCTGGGAGTCAATCCCTGTCTCAGTCTCATGATCTTAGCCAAAAGGCAGAGAAAGCCTAACTCCTGTTTAGAAGCTGTTATGGGAAAAACAATATTTTTTTCTGGTACATTTTGGCACCTAGTGGAATCAAACAATATAAGTTGCAGATAAAGCAAATAGAACCTGACTAACAGACTTTCAAAAACAAATTCTGGAAAAAAAAATCAACAAGCGCCTATTTTTTAGTGTTTATTGTAATATTTGAAACATTTATAATGTTATTTATGAAGAATTACAATCTGAGTTTGTGTTTTAAGGGGTTTTCTATAACACCATTTTTTCATTTCCTCTATTGCATGTGTGTAGGGTAAACATTTAAATGTGGGTATGTCAAATCCAGGCGGAAAGCCCCTAAATAACCCCAGTGCTTAAGGGGTTAATTCTGACTCTGGTAGAGTTTGCTAACAGAGTTTTTGATTTATGATTGCACTATGATGGTCATGCATGTAACTTTACACCACTACTGCACTGCCAAGTTGGTGTGGAGAAAACATTGCAGTAATTGTGCAAGATGGGTCATGTTTATTTATTTATTTTTCCCCACTGTCAATCAGAAAGAATTTTGGAATCTTTTCTACAGAATTCCTAACATGATTTTAGCATACAGCATTGCGTGCAGTGTATAAAAAAAGCTTTTGATGAGAACTGAAACTTTGTGTGCATAATTTCAATTTTACCTCTTCTTCAAATTTAGTTTTTGAAAAAAAAAAAAAATATATATATATATATATATTAAAAAAACTAAAACAATAAAAGGGTGTCCAGTGGTGCAGAGCTTTTAAAAGTTTGGTTGTTGAAAACAATGAATTCACAGTAAGATGATTTCTTTCTGCAATTGGGAGGTTTGTTAAATAACAGGTTGTTGTGCTGAAAATATCGGTTACATTTATGCTCTAGTTGATATTTGTTACAGTGCGCAGTGCTGAGTATTGAATGCTGTTGATGTCTTAGAGGTGGAGTGTGTTAGTTGTCATTCTTTTGTGATTGCTTCATGTTATGCAGCTGCATCAGCTGTTGCTTAATATCAGTAAACGAGTTGTAAGGTAGTTGTTATACAGTTATACACAGTATACACTTTGTATGTCTGTTCCTGCAGCCGTGTTGACGTAAATGCTGTTTCCTTGGGATTGTGTATTTCATCTGGCAGCATTGTGATTCACATTTTGCAATCCTTCTCAAAATGTCAGTCACAGACTGGTAAATTGCGTCACAGATTTCCCAGACTCATCTATGTATTTTTGTTCATTTGAGCAAGACACTTGACAGATTCTGGTGCACTATTATCACTGAACTTAGTCTTCATGTGATTATATTGAATGCATGTCAATGCAGAACATTTATCTGAGACCAATTGTGAAACTGCTTCTGTTTTGCGGTTTTCTCATGTAATACAAAACTTTACAATTGAATTCCAAATTAGAAATTGAACTATTAGCATGATGATATAAATTATTGATAAAGTGATAAATTGAATAGGTTTTTATTATTTGGTTTGCTTTAATAAAAGCTGCACTTGAGCTGCATGAACTCCACCAGTTTGTGTCAGACCTGAAGATCATGTTCTCCAGCATGATTAAAAAAGATCCAAAGAGCATCTTGAGCTCGAAAGGAAGAACATCTGATCGTCTGTACAAATAGTCACATGATGAATGTCACACATTTGCTTATAAGTGACCTTGTCTCAATCTCAAAAAAATGAAAAGTTTTTATCTTATTTTTTTTCTTCGCTGTATGCAGTATTAAAGTTGAAGGTGTAAGTGAGAATCTGACTGAAATAAAGATAAGATTAGGTGATGGCTTTAACACAAGCCAGATATAATAAGGGATGTCAAACAACGTTATGCAAAGGTTCCAAAAATAAACTAATAAACTGTTCAAAAATAAACTGATCAAGCACCATTTTTCCACTTGCCTTCTAATCTACTGGAAGCCCATCTTGTGATTAATTCAAATATTTGTACAGATAGTGTATAAAGTTGCTTTACATTAGTTTTAATTTCCCCATTAATTTGTCTGGCGGATGTAATGCTAAGATAAGCATTATCCATTAGTTACCCTGTTGACCATTTGAAAATCATCACTGTAATGGTTTAATTTGTGCTCCACAATATTTTGCCTTATGCATCTTGAGTTAATAAAGTTCATTACTGAAGCAGGTTGGCACTAGCATTGAATTTAGTCACTTCTGAGTCTGACCAAACTGGTCAGAACTATGCGTCTCCACAAATCCGTTTTTGAGTTTATCAGTATTTCTGGGATATCTTGATAGCATAACTCTCTTTAAGGTTATGCCTTGCACAGCATCTGAATTAGACTCATGAAAACATATATGCTTCAGTTTTAGCCGTTCTTGATTTACTTATGTGCTTTGGACCATTGTCTTGTTGCACTCTCAAGCTTGAAGTCATGAATTACTGTCCTGCTACTCTCCTGTCAAATGCCTTGATGCACTTTTGAATTCATTGTTCATTCAGTGATTAAAAAATGTCGAGGCCCTGAGGCAGAAATGCAGCACTGAACCATGATGCTCCTTCCACCATGCTTCACAGTTGGGATGAGGTGTTGGTGTTAATGTGGTGACCTTTTTCCAAAACACTTTTTGCCAACTTCTAAAACTTTGATTCCATTGTCCATAAACCATTTTCCCAGAAGTGTTATTTTTCAGGATATCCATTATACTGTAGCAACAGTCCAGAATTTGTAGACCGGATGTCTTATCACCGATTCATGAACTCCCACTTTTCTAATCTCCTTAACCCAGTTAGCTTTTGGAGAAGCTGTAACACAAAGGTTCACTTTATTCTACTTTAAAGTAGAACTTTTTGTGTTATGAATGAAGCCCGATTGTGTTTGTCTATAATTGTGGCTTCGGTGAAAATCATGGGAAAGTTCTGGGAAACAGCCAGAGGTCAGATGATAAAGACCACAATAAATATGGAGAGAGCCAGGGATTTTTTTTTTTTTTGACAGGAATGTTTGGCAATATTTTAATCTTAATCTTAATCTCTACTTTTATTTTAATGGTGATAGGAGGCAAATGGGAAAACAAGGACAGGAAAATGTGTCCCTTTGAGTCCCTTCATATCAGGCATCATATAATTTGTCTTTGCCAGCAACTAAAATAAGATACTGTAATAATTAGTGTTGGGTCCAAGTCGAGTCCAAGTTCTTAATCACTGAGTTTGAATGGTAGACGTTTATTAATGTCTTGTACTTTTAATTTTATGTTGTTACTCTCATGTTCTACATGACGTGGATTCAACTGTACGCTGAGAAATTTCTGAGTCCAAAATGTCATGTCAAGTTTGAGGATAAGTCCACCCGAGTGCTTCCGAGTTCATACTTGCAGTCTGAGTCCAAGTACCCCAACTCTAGTAATAACCTTTCAATCTTTTCCCGTTGTACTCATATTGGAAAATGAATGGTAAACATACTACTTCTCTTGCGTCAACAATCACAGTCCACAACTGGGCATCACTAAGCCCACTTAATACTCACATGAGAATAAACACAGAACACAACCTTCAAATACATACATCCTCTATTACTGACTTAGGTGAAAACCACACCACGTTTCATGAGTTATCAGCACAGAAATCTAGATATTTTCAAAGGGTTCACAAACATATTCTTACCACTAAATCTCAAATGCTTTCATGTAATGATTTTACCGTTTTATTGGAACGTGCAATAAGTGATTAATTTCTTTGTTTTGGAACCCAATACTATAGTCGTCTTGGACATTATGCTGACACTTATCAATCTGCATGCAGTATACAATTCCAGTATCACCATATATTTGCAGGTGGGTTAGGAATTTATTCCACAAACTCAAGTCTGTTGAGTGGTAAAAACCAACCGGAAGGTTGAAAGGTGTCAAACACAGATACCACAATGTTTAAAGGGGTCCTATTATGCTCTTTTAAGTCTTGATTTTGTTTTGGGGGTGTACTAGAACAGGCTCTCACACTAGGTTGTTCGAAAAACACATTATTTTTCACATATTTTACATTATTACAACACCTCTCTCCCCAGTCTGGCATGAACGGCTCGAATAGTTCCTGTATCAAATGAAGGCGAAAAGCGATTTCTGTTAAATAAAATATCTCCTTTTGAAGTGGACTTTGAGCTTTGCAACTTTGCAGATCTTTTTTTATGCTCAAACAGCAACATTACAGACTAACTAAAGTTGAAAAAGCATAATAGGACCCCTTTAAGAATATGTTCTTTCCCTGGGCTGTGTGCCAGATGAACTGTTGACTTTCATTCAGCAGCATCTTTTCATGTGCAGAAGTCATTCATGTTTACCTTTTCCCCACAGTATGTGGTTAGTACATTTTTCTGGCACAGATAATCAATTTAATCTTTTCACTTTTCAGGATTTCATTGTCATTGGAAACAGTCTGGTTTTATCCTGTATCTTGGTCTCCATGAGATGATCTATTCAGCAAAATCACTATACCAAACAGGTTTTGGCCTGT